ATTTATTTTTTAGCCATTTTTATATATAAATTCAATATAAAACTGATTTTATATCACTGAACCAAACAGTGTATGAATCACAATATGAATTATTTTAATATGCCTGTACATAAACTTGGCTTAGAAAGGGATATTAAAAAACAGGAGCTACTTGAGCCGTAGCTCGCCCGAACACTATCGGCGGGAATAAATAAAATGTTATTAGATTTCATAAAGCGGCACCTGGGCGCGTGCAGCATCAGCTGGCACAACCAATATAGAGTCATTAAACCCTTCGACGGCAAAAAGGCGCCATTTTGAACGCTTCCTTTTGTTTTCCCCATTGACTTTTTTTAAATCAATTGTTTTCCCGCTCTTTTTATATACTTTTAATTAATAAAAAATTTATTTCACACTCAAAAATATTTGATACTTGCAACCCGCCTCGACTTCGCCTAGTTAATTCCTATTAATTTTTTTTGTCTTTAAAAACGTTACCTCCGCACTAGGATTTTCTCCTGTGTCGTGGAGGCTGTTTACAAACATAAATTGCACGAGGACAAACATCCAGACCCGGAATAATTATTTGTAGGCCATACAGATACTTGTTCCGTGCGGGATTCGAACCCGCGGCCCCCAGCGCAACAACTGATTGCCAAGCCACTGCGCCACGGAGCCGTCAAGCCGTCTTATTAAGACTTTCTTAATTACATTTCGTTTATTTAAAAAAAAAACCATATCAAGTTTTTGGGACAAAATATCGCTTAGATCCCTAGCCTTGCTTTCTAACTTTTTGTGAAGTTTCATTACAATCGGTTCAGCCATTACGAAGATTATCCCGGACAGACAGACAGACAAAAATTTTTATAATGTTTATCCATGATTTAATGGTATGCAAATGATCCCCTCAGCTCATTGGTTAGGCAGATATTTCGAAATTACGGACAGACACTTCTATATTATTTATATGTATAGATGAGTAAAATATTATAAGAGGTATTTACTCTATTTGCAAAGAAAATAAAAAAAATCTTTTTTTATATAGGATAAGGGTGACAAACGAGCACACAGTCCGCCTGATGGTAAGTGGTTGCTGTGGCCCATAGACATCAACATCTATCTTCGATTACGAATCAAAATATAGATTCGTTGTCACCCGTGAGGACTAAGATGGAATGTCTCGTTTCCAGTAAAAAGGGTCTCCGGTTCTCTACACTCAGCATACGAAACACAGCAGCGTTAAGCTGCTATTTTACGCTGGTATTCTGTGAGAGCGTGGTCCTTCCCCGGTCCAGCCGACCCATTCCTGCTGCAACCATAATATAAAAATATTTTTATTCAATATATATTATAACTTAATACTTATTGAAAGTATTTTTTTTTATTTACCATTGGTTCGGAAAATACCTCCGTCCTGGGAAGAACCAGCAAGAAATCCAGCGGGACTTTTTTTTAAATATATTTCAATTTACAATAATTTTGTTTGTACAATTTTTAAATTAATTGCATGGTGGTCACCTCATTCCCAGGGGTTATTTTCATTTAAGTATTGTTTGATATTATAATAACCCTTCTTTAATAAAACATGTAAACTTATTTATTGACAAATTTTGTACATTTTCTGGGATCCCCATAAATGATTTACTAATTCTGTGGAGTCTAGTAACTGGTATTACAAGCTTATAGCGTTAAAACCAACATTCAATATATAATAAGGACACAAATACACAATCATTGATTTTTTTGTATGTACCTATATTCAACTGTGTTTTTTTTATCTCTGCAACGTAGCCCTGTACAGTGAATTTTATTATGATAGGTGTGATAATTTTCTGTTATTTGATATTTATATTTTTTTTGCTGTAGTTTGTCATTTGCCTCGTACTCCTGGCTCCACTGAAAATCGGCTTTACGAATTGATCTTCAAATTGTGACTAACTCTGAGTGGATACCATTTTGGTGTATATTATTTGTTTTATATTTTTGTTATAATAAAAATTGCTTTTTCTGTTTTTCTTTTCTTGTTTTCTTTATATAACTAATGTACCTAACAAATAAACGTTTTCTTTCTTTTGCTTTTTTTAAACAAAAGAAATAATATAATTTTTATTTATATTAAAGTTGTCTGTAATATTTTACATCTGATAAAAATATTGTCAGTAAAATAATATAAATTATTTTGCATCATTAACGTTGTTAAAAAATATTTACAAATTTGCTTTTTAAATTTATGCCAGCATTAAAATATATTAATAACTGAATATATTAATAATAGAGTATCAATAGTAGCCATCTTTATTGATATGTCTAAAGCCTTTGACTGTGTAGAACATAGCACGTTGTTGTACAAATGTGAAAAACTAGGAATCAGAGGACCGGCTTTGGAATGGATCGAAAGCTATTTGACAAATCGGCAACAATGTGTTGAAGTACCACGTATTAATAATAATCTAGAGTTAACATATTACAGATCTCCTTATATACAAAATGACTATGGGGTACCTCAAGGGAGTGTTTTAGGGCCTTTATTGTTCATTCTATATATAAATGACTTACCGAGTATAACAAAGCATCAGTCCATACTATTTGCTGATGACATATCAATTGTTATACCCCACACTAATAATTCACAGATATATGAACAAGAGATAAATTCCACTATAAAATCAGTTATATCATGGCTAGAAGATAATAATTTACAAGTCAACACTAACAAAACTAAATATATTCAATTTGGAAATTATAAAACAAAACCACAAAAATTAGACTTAACATATAAGGGTGAAAGATTGGTAGAGGTAGAAGATACACAATTCCTAGGTGTTGCTATTGACCAGCATGTCAACTGGAAATTACACATTAATAAGGTATGCAAAAAAATTAATCAATTTGTTTATGCACTACGTAGACTTCAAAATGTAGCAGGTCCACAAGCAGCGCGTGTTGCTTACTACGGGTACGTTGAATCCGTCTTAAGATATGGATTAATCTTGTGGGGCAACTCAACAGACGCAAACAGAGCCTTTCTAAGCCAGAAGAAATGTATTCGTGCACTGTGTAACGTAGGCCCTCTACAGAGCTGTAGACCACTGTTTAAGGAAAAAAATATTCTCACTTTAACAGGGTTATATATATTAGAAATCTGCGTTTTTGTAAAAAATAATACAAATCAATTTGTTACCGTGCAGGAAAATAATAAATTTGCAAAAAGAGATTCGACACGTCTACTGATGCCACCTTGTAGAACTGCATTATTCCACAGGAATTGTCTCGTAATGTGTATCAAGATATATAATAAAGTTCCTAAAAATATTCGTGAACAGCCATTAACGCGAATGAAAAAAAGTTTAAAGCAGTGGCTAATAAATACTGCCTTTTATAACATCAAAGAATTCTTTAACTATAAATTTTGATTTTGCTTTTGATTTCTTTTTTGTTGATTTTGTTTAGCTAAGTAAGTTACTATAGATCCAGGATTTTGCGTGATACTTCTCAATTGAATGAAATGTTATTTTTCGAATTTTGTTATGTTCTTCTAAAAAGAAATGTAATCATTACAAAGTGGTAGTTACATACTTGAATATTATGTGTATATTTCTAATGTTAGTTCATTTGTTCTAAACACATTTATATTTTTAAAAAATTTTTTTTTCGCATGCCACGAATGGCAAAATATGTGGAAACAAATATTGACTGTATCCATCCGTCTGTACCCATGTTTTTAGCGAAATAAATGATTTGATTTGATTTGATTTGAAAAGATTTAGGAGACAGTTTGTTTGCCAACATTAATCTCATCTCAGATTTGATCGTCGCCGTTGGAGCACGCGTCTCCGGCCCAGGTGTGCTGTTTCCACACCTGTGCTAATTGCAGTTTTGCGGGTAGTTAAGAGAAGTAGTTTCCCGCTACACGTGCTTGTAATGTGAAAAGATATAGTCAATTTAATGTTGGAAACGATTACTGGGCGCTTGTGTGTTGTCACAGCGCTCAGTTCATAATATATTTTCTTATATTATCGAACCGGACAGAAGCTTTGTAATATTTGTTATACAGATTAAATAATATTTAGTATTTTTATTTATAGTAAAGGATGATGGTAAGTAGTTTCTGTGGCTCATAGACATCTACATCTATCCTCGACTATGAATCAAAATGCAGATGGGTCCCTCTGTCGCCTCACGACACCCACGGAATAATATGAAGCACTGAGTATTTTTACACAGCTACTACGCCATATTAGCGTTATGTTATATTTTTAATAAATATAAGGCTAATATGGGGTGTGGGTACGAGGCATTCCATCTTAGTCCTTTCAGCTCAGCCCTGAGGACTAAGATGGTATGCCTTGTTTCCAGTAAAGGGATCTATGGTTCTCTTCACTCACCATACAAACAAATAAGGTGGCGATACCAGTTTCTCGACTCCACAGATTCAATAACTCATTCTTGGGACAATGCATACGCTATTACAACAAAGTCCTAGAATATATACAAGGTATCTCTATTAGCAAGTTTAAATAGTTATTAAACAAAAACTGTATTGTGTGTTATTTATAATATAAACGAATACATGGTTGATAATAACTCCTGGGAATGAGTTAGTTGCTTACAAGCTGTTTCTAAAAGAAATTTTGTAAATAGTTTATACAACCTTTCATATTGTATAATTTACTTTTCTTTTTTTACGAACCAGTGGTAAAGAAAAAAATGTCTTTCAGTAGGAATTACATGTAATCTATATTTAATAAAATTTTATTCTATTCTATTCTATCTTTTGTTTGTAAGAACTGGTGATTATAGCGCCATCTTTCTTTAAATTCAAAATTTATGCGATTTTTTAATGTGTAATGTCTTGTGTAAATGTGTTAATGTCTTGTGTAAATCGTTGAGACTGGCCGTCGTAATTAAAGTTTGGCCTGTAGGACATTATTATATTCTTATGTATCGTTCAAAAAAATATTTAATTTAATTTATTTAGAAATTCAAATATAGTTAGGATCTTCGCAAAAAAAAGTATGAAATCAAGCGACTCTAGGTGGTAACAAAAACCCGCGTACGATCATATGAATAGGAAAAGCGTAGTTTAAAACTGTATCCTCTTCTGGATTAAATATATCCTTTTTATTAGACGATTCATCAACTACGTCACTTCCTCTACGTTTACTGTCATGTAGGTTTACGAAAATATCATTTAAAGATTTCCTGCCAGCAAAATCGTCAGCTTTTATCTTAACATTTTCAATACTATTTACATCGTTTCTATCCATTTTATTATCTATGGCATATATATCATCTAAAGATCGTCGCCTTTTCATAGTTATATGTTTTGCTACATTTTTAATTCTTTTCTGACTTTCTGTTTAATTTTCTTTATAATTTCGTGTGGGTTAATTTCTCTGTTAACTATTTTATCATTTTCTATAATAATTAAGTGATCTTTTCTGTCACTTTTTTGTGAATTACTACGTCTGTTTGATGGGATATCATCATTGTAGTATTTATTTTGATAGCTGATCAGAGATTTCACGTCGAATCTGTCGTTGCGATCGTCAAATGTTATGTCCGGTTTAAAACCCGACAGCACCTGATATTGACATTCTACTGCAGTAACAAAATAAAGAACAATGCAAAAATTATTCTGAAAGAAAAAAAGGTAGAAAACATTATAAATATTTTTGTAAATCTTTTCTTAAGGAATACAGTCAGGAGAAAACAAAAGTTATTAATTGAATTCATCATGAGCCTTGTATTATAACATAGTCGATAGTTATACACGTGAGTAGATAGTTATACATACAAGTTGATCGAATTGCCGCAATCGTCACACAGCATCAAATAACGTCAGTTTAAAGATTATTATTTATCTTAATGCTGTGGAACCAACAGTACAAAAAACGACTTTGAAAATTGAATCGTCATAATTTGTCTCTACATTCAGTTTCGTAGTGTTATCTTTGGTTTTATGCATTTGCTTTTTTCAGAAGGATGACAAACGAGTCCACCTGATGAGAAGTGGATGTTGTGACCCTTAGACACCTACATCTACCGTGGATTAAGAATCAAAATGTAGATGCGTTGTCACCTCTGACGACTAAGATGGAATGCTTCGTTTCCAGTAAAAACGGCCTGCGGCTCTCTACACTCACCATGCGAATCACAGTAGTATTCAGCTATTTGAACTTCGATAATTTGGTGATCGAAGTGTTTGACGCTGGCATTCTCTGAGAGCGTGGTCCTACTCCGGCCGAGTCGACACATTCGTGCTACAACCATAATATAACTACTACGGTGATTAGGTTGCAAATACAAGCTAACACACACACACACTTATATATATATCCTATGAGGAAATCTATGGGGGAGGTCTATGTTCAGCAGTGGGGTTTAATGGGCTGTATTGGTAACGGTAGCCTCTGAGCTACCTCGTCTTCTATAACCATCATCATTACAGCCCTACACAAGTCCTATATTGAATATAGGCGTTCCCCATGGAAGCCGCAAAGCACGGTCCTGAGCCACCTGAATCCATAGATTTCTTGCAAATCTTACCACGGCCTAGTAAAAAGATTTCTTAGTGAGTTCCCTCGTGACCATGCATGCTGTGAAGTACTCGAAACGTCGGGGACATAAAAAATATGTTAATTAAACTCAATAAAATCCGTAAACACTTATTTCGTTTAGTCTGTTATATTTATAAGTAGATAAATTATTACCTACTTATAAGTATATATTATTACAGTAATTATACTATTCTTAATTACTCTTACCCACCATTGCAGACTTCGCTACCATAATTTATATAATAGTTTGGTGCATAGTTTCTTGATTAATATAAATTTATTTCTTATTATTTCTTATTATTATGCTTTATTGGAAAATAATTGTTTTATAATAAAAAGGTAAATATTTTTATATAATTTTATAATTGTTTGTTTCAGAAAAGTCATACAGTTATAGAAATGTGTTCATTTTATTCATTAGTACAAGATCGTTAAAAGATAATTGAACGTTGATTTAAATTGCTTGTTATTGTAATAACAATTAAATTTTGATTTTGTAACGTGGATACGAAATAGAGAATAGTTAGAGTAGCTCATACCATTAGGGCTACTGTATACAGATAATCAAACCAACAGGTTCAATTTTTTTTATAAGATAAAGGTGACAAATGAGCACACAGTCCAACTGATAATAATTTATTGTATTCGTTATTTATTAATTACAGCCAATCAAAAGTGCCATAGTTGGCACGCCTGGCAGGCGGGTTCGATGCTGTTGCTCATCGTCTGTTTCATTTCGGTCTGCCGCTTCTCAGTGAATCGTTTTGAAGACCACTGCTGGTGACCAAGCGTGCTATAACCATCGATTCTTGCAATCGGCATCATTTAGTTTTAAGGTACTTAGGAACCATTGACAACTTAGGAGCTAAACGCTCGCCGTAAGAGCCGCTGAGTAAACCGGGTTCAATCCCCACCGGCACTAATAAAAGAAATAATATTTTAAGTGCTGATACACCACGCACTCGACGCTAAGGCCCGCCATATACGAGTACATACGGAATTCCGTTTCGAGATTCCGTTTCGGAATTTCGAACGGTCGGCCACACACAAACGGAATCCCGTTTCGCCCGCAAAATATCGAATGGAAAACTACCGTACGTGTGTGGCGAGTCATAGATTTTATATGGACTTGCTGCGTTCGGGATTCCGAATCGGAATCTCGAAACGGAATTCCGTATGTATGTGGCCGGCCTAAAGGTGTACATCGTGAGGAAACCTATAACTCCACAGACAGAAAGTCTGTTAACACGCATTAGTGTATCGCGATGGACATTTCTGTGCCCTTTCTTCCTTCCAAAAATGAGAGGACGCATCTGACCAGCTGTGGTACGTATAAAAGTTAAATAAAGGAAAATCTATATAGGAGCCATTATTACCATATTACAAGAATTTTTTGTCAAAATTGTTGACTTTTTCAACATAAATAGGACAACGTTTCTTATAGAAAAAGAAACGTAACTTTATATCGCGAACTAATAGTTTAAATTTAAATTAAAAAAATATATAGAAATACACATCAAAATCAAACAGGCACGCATTAAACTTCAGTGTAATTCTATTCCCGTGCTAGTTCAGAGCTGTGTTTCGTAACAAACCCCGCAAACTCGTGGTCGGCGGCAGAAAAAATGCAAATGGCACCGCGTGACGTCACGTCCGCGCCAGATGGCGCGTGTGCGCGCTGATGCCGCTTTAATTGCCTCTCGCGGCCATATTTTATTTGGTTGGCGGGCATTTCAATAAATCTGGTGCTTTGCTGTTTCTTCATTGTTTATATTCCGTGGTTTTCCGTCCGGCGTGTCTGTTGTGATAGTTTTAATAAAAATATCTCAATACTTTCGGATCGGAATCTGGATTTTTCTTGGGATCCTATACCTTTGGTTTTCACGATATTGTAAGCTGGATCTGCGGAGGTCCGACCAAAAATTAATTAATTAAAAGCTGAAGGTAGTCCGGGTTAATTTAATTATAACATCAGGATTCAGGGAGTCAAAGACCACAGTTACTCATGCTAAACAGAACATGGGCCTTTTTCGTGGTAGGAGTTTGCCTTAATTATGCTATACAGGCGTTTTAGCGATTGCAGTACCAGGTGTCTCGCACTTTCTGCCGCCTGTTGGGTAATATCGACAGTCATAAGATTTTTCTGAATTTTCTATATCTCCTCTTACGGCACCAACTCTTGACGACCCTTTCACCGTCATCACACGTTAAATTTAAAATATTCAGCTCATGCTTTGCTCATGCTTTCTCAGATTCAGCTATACAATAAAAAACTTTTCATTAATCTTATGATGAGTAACACATGCAATCTGATAAGTTATTCGACAATTCATTTAATTTTTTTTTGTATTTGAATAAGATTGACAAACGAGCACACAGTGCACCTGATGGTCATAGATAAATAAATAAATATATACTAAGCTAGTAAGTGGATGCTTTGGCCCATAGATATCTACATCTACCGTCGATTAAGAATCAAAATGCAGATGCGTTGTCACCCTCGAGGACTAAGACGGAAGAATGCTTCGTTACCAATAAAAAGAACCACACGAAACACAGTAGCGTTAAGCTGCTATTTTACGCAGGTATTCTGTGAGAGCGTGGTCCTTCCCCGGTCGAGCCGATCCATTCGTGCTACAACTATACTTTCTGGTATAGCTGCAGCATGATTCTACCACGTATAAAATTAAAAAATGGCAGAAGCTAAGTATATTGTTAATACGATCAATTTAATTTCTATACATTTGGAGTTTAATTTAAAACCTAACATTGCATTCGCAAAAGAAAACACGAACAATGTTTGCTGCCCTAATGGCGAACGCACGCCCGCCATTAACAATTCAAGCGGTAATCAGTGTTTACTGTTGTCTATGGTGCCTAAGCCGCCATTAAGCATGCCCCGACCCTGTAATTTTAACGTTATTAAACGAAGCAGCATTAACGTATTTTATAAGGTAAAATAAAAAAAGAACTGATTAAAATTTCAATGTTTTTTTTTTTACTAGCGACCCGCTTCGACTCCACCTGAATATGATCTATTAATGTGGTATTTAGATTTCAGATAATCAAAGATCATATATTTTATCAATTTCTAAGTTTTTTAAAAAAGGTTTTTAAAGAATTTTATATTTTTTAAGCAATGGTTTGCAACTATCTAAAAACCAGACATTAGCGATGGATTTAATGCACTTTTTGGAGAATGAATGCTCTCTGAAATTCCACTGATGATCGCCAGATTATGATGCCATAGCTGTGCATCGAGGACACGTAGCCGTGAAGCTTACATGTTACACGTAGCACGAGCTTTTTCGACAAGTGGGTACCACAGAGTAGTGGATGTTCTGCTGCGGGTTCTGTTTCCGAATTTTAGTAAGCACCAACATTTGTGAAAAAATGCACTCTGGCTTGTGACTGTCCCTGTGTCTCTGAAACTACGTGCTAGTCTACGTTACGTTCGCGACCAACCCGGGTTCGACTAACGCTGGCATATTTTTAAAGTATGTATTAACTTTGCAATGTTGCGCATTATCATAATCTACAGAATTTGGTTGACAACTTTCACCGATGACCTCGACATGCTCCTGACGTATATATCACGAGCATGTCTACTACGCGTCCCTAGTCTGGCTTGTATCATTTGATTTTTTAACATTGAGTTTTCACTTCTGTCGCCAGTCATTATGACTACCTCTGTTTTTTTTTTATGTATTTTCACCGGATTCTCAATTGATGACCGATCTTGATTTTTTTTTAATAAATAATTGTTACACTTCAGGGGTTGTCCCATATAAATTGGGAAAAGAAATTCCACACCTAAGGGGACAAAATGGGGGGTGAAGTTTTTAATGTAACTATTTGGGCGACATTGAGATTATGATATTCCTTAAAAGGTTTTTTTGTAGGATGGGGTGACAAGCGAGCACACAGTTCATCTAAAGTGGTTACTGTGGCCCATAGACATCTACATCTATTATCGTTTGTGAATGAAAATGCAGATGCGTTGTCACCCATGAGGACTAAGATGGAATGCCTCGTTTCCAGTAAAAAGGGTCTCCGGTTCTCTACACTCACCACACGAAACACAGCAACATTAAGCTGCTATTTTATACTAGTATTCTGTGATAGCGTGGTTCTTCCCCCGTCGAGCCGACCCATTCGTGCTACAACTATACTATAAATATACCTGCAGCTTGGCTCTACTACGTAGAGTCCTTAAAAGGTAAAAGTTAAAGTTACAGCCTATATACGTCCCACTGCCGCGCACAGGCTTCCTCTCATTTCTAAGAGGGTTTTAAGACAAGGAAATGTCCGCTGCACTGCCCCAATGCGTGTTGGCGAACTTCACATACCTTCGATTTTTTTTGTTATTTCTCAGTCATGCAGGTTTCGTCAGGATGATTTCGTTCACCACCGAGCACGTGGTAAATCAGCTCTTAAAATTGCAATTAACAATTTCAATGGTGCTGGCGGTGATAGAACCCGCTCGCGTATTGTGAAATTTACAGCGTGCGTTTAGCCCCTGAGTAATCACGGCACGGTGATATTACTTAGTCCACTCAAAGCTTTTAATAAAAAGTAAAAGCAGACTTCAATAATCTATAAAAAATTTAATGTTTTCACATTCTGAAGTCGAGGATTTTATATTTCTTTATATTATATCTTAGCACCGATCCACTGGTTTTGTAAAAAGATGCTTCATTTTTCTACATATCCTATCGCGTACAGCATGTACCATGGATAGTGGTCAGTGGATTTATTCGCATTTATGATTCCATCTACTAAAATACACTGTGGCGGCGCTGTCGCCGCGCCATAAGCGGAATGCATCTAAGTCTAAATCACCCTATGAAAGTTCTGAAATACTGCGATATATATATAATAGCTCCGTACTACCACACAAAGGCTTGCCCGGTGGAATATGTCGGTGGAGTATTTCGGTCCATGGCCAGACCACCATTGTACACAGAAACAGAATTAACTATAAATTCCATCTACATCATTTCAATGGTTGTCATTCCACTACCGTGCGTATCAGGAATGTTCTGCTCCGCACAACCACATTAACTAATTGTGAATTTTTCCCGTTCGGAAAATTTTGACCTCTCAAGGGAACCTCGTGGCCGCCCGGAGAATGAGGTTGATAATGACGAACTGAAGTCAAAGTACTGAACATTTCAATTCCGAAGAAGCAGGCGCCTTTAACAGAAAGATAAAGAAAGAAAGGGCTGCGTTTATTTCGTACACGTCATAACAAAGAAGAAAAAATAAGCAAGGCAGAAAAATAGTTAGTACGAATTGAAGTTAGAAGTCAGCTTGTTACGCTGATTTTCAGTGGTACCGATGTGAGCCAGATGACAAAATACGAGGGCGGGATGATAAGTAACTGGCCTAATAAGAAAACACTTAACTTTCCGTGATAAAATTAATTTTATTTTTAGATATAATCTCCGTGAACCTCTACGTACTTATTTCATCTTCGCTCTAAAGCAGTAATGGCTTTCATAAAATTATTTCTTTCGAGGCCTGCAAAATACTCCTCTACAGCGGCTATGACTACATCATTTGTGGCAAATTTCTGTCCACCCAAAAAAGTTTCGAGCTTAGGGAATAAGTGGAAGTCTGATGGCGCTAGATTAGGCGAATAAGATGGGTGAAGTAGCAAATCATACTTCAATTCCAAGATTTTCTTTTCGCCAAACATGGTCGTTTTTGCTGAATACATTGATGAAGCTTATCTAGAAGATTAGCGTAGTATTCTCCATTAATTGTTTCACCTTTACGAAGGTAATCTATCATCGAGATCCCATCTGCATCCCAAAAGACGGAAGCCATCACTTTACCAGCCGACTTTACAGCCCATGGCTTTTTTTGGAGTCGGGCATCCCGATTGAGTCCACTGTTTTGATTGAATTTTTGATTCTGGCGTGTAATGATGAACCCATGTTTCATCTTTTGTTAGAAATCGACGTAAAAATCGGCATTATTACTCTGAAAACGGTCCAGACATTCTTTTGAGTTATGCACCCAAATCCTTTTTTGATCGTGCGTAGGCAATCGCGGCACCCAACGGGCCGATAACTTTTTCATATTTAATTCCTCACTTAGGATATGATCTACCAGTTCTTTTGAGATACCTGTAGTGTCAGCTATTTCAGATAACTTCAATTGTCGATCTACTAAAATCATATCATGTACTTTCACGACCATTTCCGGAGTCGTGACGCTTTTTGGACGTCCGGGGCGGGCTTCATCTTGGACACATGTATGACCGCGTTTAAACTCAGCCACCCAGTTTCTTAATGCGGCATAAGAAGGAGCACATTCACCCAAAACATTCTTTAACTCGTCATAGATATCTTTCTCCTTCATGCCCTTCATATGAAAAAACTTTATCACCGCTCTTTGTTCAATTTTATCCATT